ACTCTTATCCCAACTAAAGCAAGTTTTATTAACGACTTTAAGGTTCATAGTATTAGGACTACGTTACGCCGAACAACTGAAGACTGATCGTCTCAGAGTATCGTAGGGTCTTTTATTATCTAACAGTAAGCAAAGAAGGTAGAGTAGCATGACAGTGAAAAGCTAATTACAAAGAGGTTGTAAAATGTTGGTAAACGGTAAACAAGCTGAGTTGCAGCGCTCTGTATTTGACAGAGTGAAATTGAAGTCTAGGAATAGATAGTTATTAAGATTACCCTAGCTATAGTCCCGCCAACAAATCTTTTGGTTGGACGAAACGTATCGTGTCAATCGTCTGTCATCGCACGAAATTCATTTTACTATCATCATTCATCTTTTAAAAAAAAATATATATCATCATATCGTCATCGCATCATATTTTATATGTGTGATTGATGTTGGAGGCATCATATATTAGAACGTACTCGTATCTGTATTCCCAAAGCCAGCCAACACTTCTCAAAATGAAAGAATCTTATTCCGTCACCAAGAACAACAAGAAACTTGTGTTTCTTCTTTTGCTTCAGCTAGGCTTGACTACGGCATTTCAACCACCACAGCAACAACAGCAACAACAAATTCTGTCGCGCCATCGTCGTCGTACGAGATACCCGTGGTCATATATTTCCGCTGCTGCTAGTGGTGCTGCTTTGGTTGACGAAACAAACGAAGAAGTAGAAGTAGAAGCAACGCAAATTTCATTCTCATCACCACATGCATGGGATGAACAATTTGAGATACTCCAATCGTTCCAAAAGAAATATGGACATTGGAACTTTCCACAGAATCCTCCTGAGGCTCTTGAGAAGGAATATCCAACACTGGTCAGTTTCTGTCACCATCAGCGCGTCGAATACAAAAAGACCAAGCGGAGTACTACCAATCATTGGAGTACCCTGCGACTATTTGATCGCAACCTTCGTTGTCAGCACTTAAAGGAGCTTGGATTTGAATTCAATGCGCATGTTGCCAAATGGTATGACAAGTACCATGAGCTACTGCAGTATCGCAACGATAATCATGGGCGTATATATGTACCTGTGCCTGAGACGAAAGGGGAAGGAGAAGCGGAACAACATCATGGCAACAATAATCGCTCCCTGTACCGTTGGGCCAAGGTTCAGCGCGCAAGAAAGAGACGGAACAAAGCATACGAAGAACTCTCCGACACCCAAGTCGAGCTACTGGATCGTATCGGCTTCGAATGGGAATCGGAACGTTACGATGTGTTGTGGATGGAGAAATACAACGAGCTAGTCGACTTTCGTAAAAAACATGGGCATTGCATGGTCAAGCCAGGTGGGAAGCTTTATTTATGGATGAAGGAACAACGATCACGACGTGAGCAAAAACACTATCGCCTTTTTCCTCTCTCAAACGAACAACTACGATTGTTGGATAAAATTGAATTCCCATGGAAACCCGAGCTACGTGACTCTAGGTGGAACGCCAAATACAAAGAGCTCGAAGAATTCCAAAAGAAGCATGGACACTGCCAGCCGACTAAATCGCCAGATCGCACTCTCTACGATTGGTCAAGAGTACAGCGCAAAAAACGTGAGACAGGTGTTCTCCCCACGCACCAAATCCAATTATTGGACAAGATTGACTTCCCTTGGGAACTCAAACGCGTTACCTTTCGACTGATGGTTGCTAAACTTATGACGTACTACCATCAGCATGGTCACCTTCGAGTCAGCCAAGATGATGAGGATGATGATGATGATTCAGAGCTCTACGAATGGATGGCATTGCAACGGAAACGTTATCACGGGATGGTCACTGTTTCGGGTAGTCCAATGACAGACGAGCAAATCGAAAAGATGGAAGAGACCAATTTTTGCTGGTCACAAGATTGGAAGGAGCGGGTGTGGCATGAAAAGTACACAAAGGTCGTCGAGTTCTATAAGGAACATGGCCACGTTCATGTTAAGAAGAAGGACTATCCAAGCATCTACAATTGGATCCAAGTGCAGGAGGAACGGTACAAGGGAACGGAAGGCTACAAACCGTTGTCGGAAGAAGAATCGGAACTATTGGAGCAGATTGACTTTGCCTTCTTCGAAAACCGGCCGCGGATGTCGTGGAATACAATGTATGCGGAAGTGGAGCGATATCGAGAGGAGAATGACGGGCGGTTTCCGAATCACCGAGATGACCCGGAACTGAGCCGTTGGATGAGACAACAGCGCAAACGACTGAGAAGTTCGTATGGTCATGTTCCACTTTCGGATGAGCAAGCGTCAATGTTGAAGAGTATCGACTTTCCCATGTTGCCCAAAGGATTTGATTTGAGATCGTGGTGTGAAAGGTACGACGAGCTAGTGGACTTTTGGAAGCACCATGGGCACTTCTTGGTAGATCGATTCGAAAACCCTAGACTTTATAAATGGATTGCTGTGCAGCGGAGTACACATGACGTCGCTTTTTCATATACACGGCCACCATCAAGATCAGAAAAGTATCTCTTGGATCGAATTGGCTTTCCTTGGACATCGGATCGTTATGAATTGGAGTGGCAAAAGATTTACGAGGAGCTTGTTCAGTTTCAACAAGAAACTGGTCATTTACAACCTAAGGTTGCGGATTACCCAAGCCTCTACTCATGGATGTGGTATCAGAGAGAAAGGTACCAAAATAAAGAATTGTCGGGCATGCCAACACACCAAATCGATCAATTGAACAAGATTGGTTTTCGATGGACAGTATAGAGGAGGGTTGATTTATAGATACTTGGCTCTAAGTCCTATAAGTCCTATTTTTGCGTCAAGAATAGGTACACGTGTACCACTGCACATTGCGATAGGTACAGTATAACCAACACCCGGTAGCATCTTTATTCTTCCTTACCTTGAATCTCAGTCAGTTTTGCGACTAGTTCGAATAACCGTCAATTTGTATAAAGCCGCACTTATTTTATTATTATATCTCTGAGTATAGGATTATTGGATGTCCATCATCATCATCATGAATATCTCATTCTCATGTTCCCTCATCATGAAGACCCTGGTATTTTCAGTTATGGCATCGACGATTCTTTTATTGCCTCAGCTAGGCTTGGCTACCGCATTTAAACCGAATCTTCCACCGCCTCCTGTATCCCACCGATACCCACAACAAGTATCACTTATTATGCACCGTCCTACGATATTTTGCCAACACCAGTTATCGGCTGCTACTGCTGCTGCTGCTGACGAGAGCGAGGTAACACAAGTTTCCTCACATCATGACTGGGATGAACAATTTGAGGAGCTCCAATCGTTCAAGGAAGGTTACGGGCATTGTAACTTTCCCTATAATGCTCCAGTCGAACTCCAAGAGCAGTATCCAACCTTGGCAAGATTCTGTCGGGACCAGCGGTTGGAATACCACAATTACAAGTATAAACTCTCGAGTCAGAGTATTAGGCGGATGACTCTACCAAATTTTGATCGCACTGTTCGGTTGCGTCGACTGGACGAACTTGGATTTGAATTCAATTCCAAATTAGCCCAATGGTATGACAAGTACCATGAACTACTGCAGTATCGTGACGACAATGGTCATCTTCGCGTGACAGATGAAGAAAATCGCTCACTAAAAGGTTGGATAATAGCCCAACGCTGCATGCGAAAAGGAACCGAAGGATATTCGAAGCTTTCCGAAGCGCAAACTCTTCTGTTGGATAAGATTGGTTTCGAATGGGAGCCTAGGGACGATTTGTGGATGGCGAAATACATCGAGCTCTGTGACTTTCGCAAAAAGCATGGGCATCTGAACGTGCCACATACCTCATCGGTGTATCGCTGGATTTATCGTCAGCAAGCGCGACGAGCTGAAAAGAAAAATCACTCTCCTCTCTCAGAAGAACAGCTGCAATTATTGGATGATGTTGATTTTCCCTGGATTCCAATTAGGTTCGACCGGAAATGGCAAGTGAAATACGACGAGCTAGCGCGATTCAAAAAGAACCATGGACACTGTCGACCGAGTGCATCGACTCATCTCAAAATGATCACTTGGTCACGGGTACAGCGCGAGAAACGGCGGAAAGGGCAGCTTTCATCGGAGCAAATTAGATTATTGGACAAGATTGGTTTTCCCTGGGTATCCAATAACCCTCATCAGTTTCCTGCAATGTATCAACAATTGAATGACTATTATAAGAAACATGATCATCTTCGGGTCAGCCAAGATGATGATCCAGATCTCTACAGTTGGATGACCACTCAAAGGGAACGGTATCATGGGATTGGAACGGAACCACCAATGTCAGACTTGGAAATCGAGAAAATGGAAGATCTCCATTTCTGCTGGTCCCTTGATTGGAAATCTCGTGTCTGGCATGAAAAGTACACCGAGATCGCTGAGTTTTACAAGGAGCATGGCCATGTCAATGTCACCGAGAAAGAGAATCCCAGCCTCTACAATTGGATCCAGATGCAGGAAAAGAGGTACGAGGAAACGACGGGTCACAAGCCATTGTCGCAAGAGGAATTGGAACTATTGGAACAGATCGATTTCCACTTTTTCAAAGGCAAACCTCGCATTGCATGGAATTCAATGTATAATGAACTGGAGAAGTATCGAAAGGTCAATGGCGAGAGGTTCCCAAATCACGAAGATGACCCTGACCTGAATCGTTGGATGAGACAGCAACGACACAGAATGAGAAGTGAATATGGATCTGTGCCGCTTTCAGTGGAAGAAAAATCAATTTTGGAGAGTATAGAGTTTCCTATATTTCCCAAAGGGAAACATCGACGGATCTGGTATGAACGATACGATGAGCTGGTGGAGTTTTGGAAAAAGCATGGCCACTTCTTGGTTGACCCAGACCAGCCTCTGAATCCTTGGATTGATAAGCAGCGTGGCAGGAACAGGGATACGTGTCTGGAAGCCAGACCTATATCCAAGTCGGAAGTCTATCTCCTAGACCGAATTGGTTTTCCTTGGGTATCAGATAGAGAAGATGTGGAATGGCAAATGCGTTATGACGAGCTTGTTCAATTTCGGAATAAACATGGACGTATGCCAGCCAACAGACTTGAGCCAAGACTCTATAGCTGGATGAGGTACCAGCGAGATAGATACTTTGGAATGAAGGGTAAGGATATTTCCGCCAACCAAATCAAGCAATTGGAAAATATTGGCTTTCGTTGGACAGGAAAATTCTGATGCAACACACCTATCGAAATATTTCATTCTAGTGAATAAATCCTGTACCTTCAACTGTGTGCAACATTTGTTCAGATCTCGGGTAGGTACAGTTAGTTACAGTAGGGATGCCCTTGTTTTTGAAAGATGTTAGGTGATAATGGTCGTTGTGAATGGAGGGCAATACATAGTATGGAATGTATTTTGAAAATATGTCACACACATTCAACATATGTGGCCGTTGCAGTAACCGCCCTAACCGCCCACTCGGATTTGAATCGGAGTCTATGGTCGCTCGAAACGGCCGGCCCCTAAGTAATACTATCAATTAGGTATCCTCCAGCCTACCGGCTTTCAAGAATTTTGCGAAATCCCGCCCATCAAATCGATACCAGTCCAGTGAATATTAAAATAATACTGGTCAGTTGTCTTGCATCATCGAATTTTCTTTCTGTCAAACATAAACCAAGCAGAGTCGCCACACTCCAACCGCGTCATGTCATCGACGGCTTTTTCGTTGATGGAAGTGGAATCGAAGTCTGAATCAAAATCAAGCATCGGTGGTGGATACGAAAATAAGAATAGATGGTCACCGTTCGCGTTGTCAAGCTCAAGTGGCAACATAATGCCAAATAAGAGAGGGAACGACGACAAGGCCCTTACTTGCGATGCCATCACGAGAACGAATCGTCCAATTGACTTTGTCAATAACCTTGCCAACAACCACTGTGTTGTGGAACAAGTGGAAGAGACAAACAAGGGAGCGGGTCATTCTCATCACATTGGCCAACACCAGGGTGATGCGAACGCGAATAATTTGAATCAAACCGACACTGCCGACACTCCAATATCACATCAGTCCAGGTCGTCATCTATGCAGGATGATGAGACGTTGCCGGATATTCTCATGGAGTTTGGCAGTCTTGTTGCTTCTGAGATTGAAAACACTGGAAATTTCAATGAAAACAGTCATTCTGCTGACAAGAAGATGACCCACAATAATGCAATTATTACTTCCAACTCGGACACCCCTGATGACTCGAAAAATGTTCACCGCATAAGTTTCTCTGCATCAGCTTCAGGTTCGACAGAAGTAGTAGATGCAAAGTATGCCGAAGAACAGTTTTCGGACTTTACTTTGGATTCATTTTTGGATGTTTCCGCTGACTCGGAGCAGAGTGCCTTGCAGCCGTTTGATGAATTCGAATTCAGTGTTTCTTCAGAAGAAGACGATGATATGGATAGCATTAGTGGTGATCAGGGTAATGATAATGGTAAGTCCCAAGCAAGCCCGTGGTGCGGACTTATATTGGAATCAACCCCAGCCGGTTTAAATCACCAATGAATGAATCGATATATTATGGATCTCATGATTTATTGTCTCACGTCACCACCCAGAACCAAAGCCAAATGCCAACACTGACAACAACAATGCAATCAATCCGACCAAGAGTATAGGTGCTCTGGATTCGCACGAAGACTCAGTGTCTACAGAATCTACCACTTCTTTGTCATCAGAAGAGGAAAGCACCAATAACGCTGCTGCGGAGAGTGGCAACAAGACCAATTGCGTATCTTCTTCCACTACTGCAACGACTACTGGAGCGAATGACAGCAACACCATTCACCGAAATCAGCAACGAACCGATCCGTTGGCTATAGCCCCAAGGCCATCCGATACCCCAATCTCGTTTCGCTCCAAAGAATTCCAGCAGTACCTTTCTTCTTTTCATTCCAATGAATCAAGACGAATCCGCTCTGCTTGCAAAGGCATAGATTCGTGTGAGCATCCACCGATTGGGACCTTGGAGGATCGCTTTGAAAGCGTGTTGGACAGACCGTTTCGATATTGGAAGGCATTGGACCAAGTCTTGGAGTATTCAAATCCTGAGTGGCTCAACTACCAACGTGGAAGGATGGTCCACTACTTGATTCATTTTCTAGAGCTCAAGATTGGATTCCAAGACTACAATGTGGACCCGCCATCTCGGTCGTTGTCGACTGATGATCAGGAATCGAATGCTTCAGTTTCAAATGGTGGTGGTCAATTGATGCCATCCCCAGTTGTCGACGAAGCATGGAAAGCTCTTATTCTGGAGTCCCAGCTGTATGAAAAGATTACACGATATCTTCAAGAATTCCATGGTCAACCAGTCTACCAATACATTCATTATTCGAGAGTCAGGACAGTGATGAACTCCAGTACAAAACGACAAGCCACCATTCCAGAAGAGCTCATTACCACTCAAAGTCTGTTTCAGGATTACTTTCACGAATTGATGCCTTCCTCCATCCGACAAGTTAGGACTATATTGCCCAGTCGAAGGTCTGTTCCAGCTTCGCGCTTCTCAAGAGCACAAACCAGAACCACCAATGCACAATTGGCTCCATTCCAGTGCACCCCCCTCACGGCTGCTCATAAGCGACATGGCCAAATGCAAGCTCAAAAGCGTCTAAATCAAAACTACAATGATATGACTACTAGTCCATCTTCGGGAGGCCTGCGTGGACTGCAGGTCCTGAATGTGAACGACGAGATGATGCCAACCAAAATCAAACACGTGGTGTGGTGCTAAATACTAATAAGTATTCGGTCCACATGATGACCGATGCTCCACAGCCTACTCATTTCATAATGCTATATCTATACTTTTAATCATTTCATAATGCTACATGTATACTTAATCATTTCATAATGCTATATAAACTTACTTATCTAAAGCAATAGGACTCGGACCTAGCCTCTTCCAGCTCGGCTATTTTTTGCATCGAAAGGGAGACATTAGGATGTCCTTCCCCGCAGGTATATCTGTAGATTTCTAGCGCTTTTTGGTGCGTTGCAATGGCATCTTCCAACTTGCCTCGTCGTTCCAACACAAAAGCCATGTTGCTGTATGTCATAGCGACGAACGAATGCTCTTCTCCAAGGTTTTTTATGTTGATTTCCAATGATTTCTCGTACATTGCCATAGCATCTTCCAACTTGCCTTGTCCTCCCAAAACACTAGCCATGTTGTTGTATGTGATAGCGACTGACGAATGATCTCCTCCAAGGTTCTCGATGTTGATTTCCAATGATTTCTTATACATTGCCATGGCATCTTCCAACTTGCCTTGTCCTTCCAACACACTAGCCATGTTGTTGTAAGTATCAGCGACTGACGAGTGCTCTCCTCCAAGGTTCCTGATGTCGATTGCCAATGATTTCTCGTACATTGCCATGGCATCTTCAAACCTACCTTGTCTTTCCAACACAAGACCCATGTTGTTGTATGTGATAGCAACGGTCGAATGCTCTCCTCCAAGGTTCTTGATGTTAATTTCCAATGATTTCTCGTACGTTTTCATGGCATCTTCCAACTTGCCTTGTCCTTGCAGCACACCAGCCATGTTGCTGTATGTGATAGCGACGGACGAATGCTCTCCTCCAAGGTTCTTGATGGTGATTTTTAATGATTTCTCGTACATTGCCATGGCATCTTCTAACCTGCCTTTTCCTTGCAACACAATAGCCATGTTGCTGTATGTTACAGCGACTGACGAATGCTCTCCTCCAAGATTCTTGATTTTGATTTCCAATGATTTCTCGTACATTGCCATAGCATCCTCCAACTTGCCTTGTCCTTCTAACACACCACCCATGCTGTTGTATGTGTCAGCGACTGACGACTGTTCTCCTTCAATAAGGTTCTTCTCGGTGTTGATTTTTAATGATTTCTCGTATATTGCCATGGCATCTTCCAACCTGCCTTGTCTTCGCAACACACCGCCCATGTTGTGGTATGAGTCAGCTAGTGATGAATGTTCTTCTCCAAATTTCATTTTTCTGATCTCTAACAATCGTCGATGTACTTTGAGAGCCCACTCATACTCGCAGAGCTGGTCTTCAAACAAGTCTGCCAATCTTTTCAAGCGATCCTCGTCCTCATTTGAACCGTCCAATAGCTGGTTCAGCACATTTGCACTTAACAACTTCCCTTGGCTAATAAATCTCAAGTCATTCAAACGGTCTTCCAAACTACCGGTTGCCCCAGCAAAGTAGCTGCGAAAGTATTCGTAAAACTTGTGGCCATTCAGCTGCTTTTCCAATTGACGAATGGCAATGTGATGAATCTGAATCTCACAAGTGTGCCTAATTTCACTCGGCATCTGGATTTGAATGTGAAGGTTTAAGTCACGGTACCCAGTAAGAGTTGGGGTGGCAAAGCGGTTTTTGGCCTGCGCAATTTTGATCCGGGGATGTCCTTCGATAAGCTCCACCATCTTCAAGATTTGTTTGTTGCTCGTAAACTCAATGCACCCTCGTACAATATCAAACAGCCAAGAAATACTTGGTCCAGGATTTCGTTTGGAATAATCATCAGCTGCCTTTTCCTGTGCCCGATCCCTATCTTTCAACTCGGCAAAAGTAATCCTGATCTCCTCCTTCTCATCTTCGCAATCCTCGTCATTGCGGACTTGATTGCACAAATGGTTGATGATGTTTTCAAATTCTTCTTTGGTAACTTTTGCGACCTCGTACAACTCTTCCATGTTGCTCACAGGAGTAGTGGATTCCACAGTTTGTTGTTGGTATTCCGGTTTGAATTCTTTCTCTCCATCTTTCCCCAAGAGGAAAATACCGCTATCAGAACCATCGCTGATCTTATCGCTCTTTGCTAGTTCTTGCAGCGCATCCACCTCGAGATACTTTTCATCCATCGCCTTTCGGGTGTACAGGTAACCCTCAAGCGTTTTCAGAAAGAGCTTTGTTTCGTCACGAAGTACCAGAACGTTACTGCCATCATCCGAAGAATAATGTGCCTTGTCGATGCCCGTTATGATCTCTTCCACTCGCTCGTCGAGACTTAAACTGGCACTCATGTTGCTGTACTGTATAGTAATAAGGTTGAGCGACGAGATGCAAGAAACGTTATTGAAGGTTGCTTGTATTGCATGTGCTGAATATAGGGTGTGATGGTATTATATGACGTGCGGTATAAAATGTTATTGTGATGTACGACGAGTACCAGTACCAGGTACCAGGTACCTGGTACCCGCCGCGGTATTATTTGTATTATATATCGCGTGCACTATTTTTAGGAATAATAATATATAAAAAATGATGGAGAATATATTTTCAATTTGAGAGTCATCGCGCGGTGTGATGCTGCTTGGGTGAGGGATGATGCATGTAGAGCACTCAGGGACTTGGAGTGGGTGTGGGTGTGGGGGGAATGCACAGAAAGGAAGTGGAAAGTAAGTCACTGACGGGTTGAATGGTATTTAAGTAATGGAGTTGGTGGAACTAACCATGAGGCTTTGGGGCCGAACGGGTCACCCCAGGGGTTTTTTCAATGAATTTTTCAAATGCCTGGGTGTCGGCAGATCCCATAGTTGCTGCAAACTGTTTGGTGTAGTGGATATTGTGGCAGCGGGGGCGGTTGCAATGGTAGTTGGCAAATAGGAAATGGGAACAGAAGGCTGCCTGTTTGCCGGTGATGGGGTGTTTACATTTGAAGGGGGCAATTGGAAGTCGGCCTGGGCCGTCATACGTCAGGTATCCAAAATGAGTTCCTTGAGGTGGGTGCTTTGCGCGTTTGGTTGGGTCGGGCCGTTCACGGGAATTGGGGCTCTCACGTTTGGGAGCGGGGGTTGGTTTTCCATTGAGAATAGCATGCAGGTTGGGGCATGTGCCGTACGGGCCAAGGTTGCCCATACTGATGGAGAGATTTATGTGGCTGATGGCTTGTGTGACTCCACTGAAAGCGTTCACAAACGTGTCTGCCATGATCGGTTGGCCATTACAAAGTTTACTCTGAGTTGTTTTGTTTTTTGCGGCTCCCACAACAATCTGCAAGATCTGGTTCATTTCGAGGAGGAGACACAATGGGAGGTGTGGGACTGCGGCATTGTAACGGATCCAATCTTTGGCAGCAGGTGTGTGGAGGGCGTTCATGAAATCCTCCAAGAGTGTGACAATTAACGGGGGGTCATCGAAGGTAAAGTCTTTGACACAGTATTTGACAAAGGCAAAGAAATTCGCTAACATCTTGATCAGAGCTTCGACAGAACTGACGTCGCCATGAACAAAGATGTCTGTCTTTTTCGCGGCTTGCTTGGACTTGTCTTCTTCCATGGCTTCCTGGCGGATTATGTCTCGGCCTTCCGCGAGGAAAGTGGTGTACCTGACATCATTTTTGTTTGGTGGGAGCCAAGCTAGGAGGCTGAGAAGTGAGGTGGCTTCGTGGGGGTGCATGGTGAGGGGGCGAACTGCAAAGCTGCATGTTTTGAGGGCAGTGACTGTAGCGTGTTGGAAGAGGGCAATATCAAAGTCGACGTTGCGGTCGTAGTTGTTCCGAGTGGTGAGGGTATCGGTGATGTGGGCAAAGGTGTCATGGAGGTGGCGTAGGGCCTCTTTGATCGAACCGATTTCCAAGAATGTGGCAAAGTCGTCAGTGAGGACGGATGGGTGGAATTCGTTGACAGTGGAGCCGTCAAGCTGGATGACCGGTTTGACTCGGCCAAAAATCAAGCTGAAAGAGTCTTTGGCACTGGCTGAAGTGCGGGCCAGATCTTTTTCCTTGGTGCTGGCATTGGCGCCTTTGAGAGCGTTGGCCATGATCTGGGCAAAAAGTTCGCTAACGAATGGGGCCCCTGCTGGAAGGGGGGCTGCTGGAGCTTCTTGGGTAGTGACATGATTAGTAGATGCTAAAGTAGAGAGGGCCGAGTGCCGTTTGAATTCTTCGAAGAGGGCTTTGTAGGTGGGGACCTCAGCTGCAAATGCACTGACGGTGGATGGGGAATATGTCAGATGCGTAGCTAGGTCGCTGTCTGGAAATCGATCGGTTGGGATGGTGTCGGCGCTGAAGATGTGGGCGTGGGAATGGATGCTCTGGGACTCATTGTGATCGTGAAGGTACTTCATTGCCTCGTACCAGAGCCGGAATTGGGGGTGGAAGGATTCCAGATTGGCTGGTGGGGCGGTGGATAGCTTAAGGCTTGGTGGGATGTTGGCACCAGGGTAGATGGGGAAGAACTTTTTGACTTCGGTGAACACTCCGTCCCCACTGGGCCAGTGGATGTCCTCGGGTGGGTCGGTGCTATCGGGGGCCAAGGCAGTGTGGGCAGAGTATTGGGCGTCATGAAGGTGCCGGGCTTGACATTCTCGAGCGAGGTCGTCTCGGGCAATAGAGATGACGCTGCTGCCAAGGGCATCTAAAGAAAAGGCAACTGGGGTGGGGGCATCATAGCTATCATTTGCGGATGCCCAGTGCAAGTTTGGGCCGACCTGCTTAGCGCAGATGACTTGCCGGAGGGTACCATCGGCGCCATCAAAGTAAGCAAATCCGTGCGCTTGGGAGAGGAGGATGTTTTTGCACTCACTAGCGACATGGGTGTGGAAGTAGTTGGAGAGGAGGAGGTTTTCCTTAGTAGTATCCAGGGGTAGGTCCTTGACGGTTGTCAAAGCAGAATGACCGACCTGGAGGATGGCATCAAGGGTGCGTGGGGGAAAGGTCTGCATTGGTTCAATGAAATGGCCAATACTGGAGATTTGTGAGTAGGTTATGGAAACGAATAGTGACTATTGGGGGTATTTTGTAAATGAAATTTGTTGGTTGGAACGGTCGGTTCTTAGAGGTATTGTAGTGCCTAACGGAAGGATGCCTGGTGGAGTATCCAGGGTGGGCCGTCATGGTGTTACAAACGGAAGGCTGGGTGTAGTCGGAGTGCCAAGATGCGCTGCCAGTCTTTGGCGAAGGCAATGGCGACGGGACTCACACGATTGGCGCATAGTGGGTTTGGTGCGGAGGTCCACCGAGGTGGAGTTGGCCGAATTGGGCGGTGTCTCACTCGAACTTTTGCGAAAATGCTGGTGCCGCACAGGATTGGAAAGGGTCCGGGTAAGCGGGAACTTGGCGGTACGGGTGCATGGCGGTGGATGGTCTGCCACCGGTAGGTAAGTTAGCATGGAAATGGGAGATGCTGCAGGTAGGGGACTGGCGGAGATTTCCAGGGATAATATTTGGTTGTTGACTGGCAACAAATGCACAGGCGCATTGAATAGGGTGGTAGCATGGGGCTAAACCACCTGACACCGGGTGTCCGTTCAAATATCAGGAATTTGAGGGTGCCACCGGTGGGCAAGTTAAACAGCGGATGGGCGCTGACACAACGGTGCATTTTGATAGGGCTCCTGGGAGGGAGGTGGTTGTTGACGGTCAACGAATGCACAGGCGCATTGAATAGGGTGGTAGTGTGGGGCTAAACCACCTGACACCGGGTGTCAGTTCAAATATCAGGAATTTGAGGGGTGCCACCGGTGGGCAAGTTCAAACAGCGGATGGGCGCTGACGCAACGGTGCGTTTTGATAGGTCTCCCGAAGTAGGCAGTTTTACGTCAAATGCGACGCTCTCGGGTACGCGAGAGGAAATTGGGATGCCACAGGTTGATTGGGCTCAAATCGGATTTGAGAATGCAACCTGGGTAATGAGTAGATGAAAGAAAAAAAGATATAATCGTTCTGAACTGTTTCAGATGATCGTGGTTCCTTAGCTCTTCACTGTCTCATCTTGCACTTGGCAAAAATAATACTTCTGTTCACGCCTTCGTTTGCCATGCCGATCGTCCCCGAATTTTCGTCCAATGAATTACCGTTACTTCGCTTAAGCGACTGACGACATGACTGTTGGCGTGAAGACAGGAGTCTTCTCTTGCCAGTCCGTCTACCGTCTTGCCTGATCAAAGTCTAGCTAGTCTCGGGATAAATAAGTCGCACGACTAATATAGTTTGACACGATTGGTGCGGTGTGGATCATCATGGGGGCATTTTTTTCTGCTTCGATCATCCATCGTGCGATTCATTCGACTTGTTATTCTTTTTTTGAAACAGTAACAAATAAGGTACCGCGGTGAAATCACAAATCCAAAGGTGCCTTCCTTTGAATTCAACTTCAAATACGGTGCAGTCAATGTCGAACAAAGTCACATCATTAATCAGTGGCCCTGAAAGGAATAATAATGAGAGCAACCATCTCACGAACATGAACCCATCCCACCCCGCCACGAAAAATGCTTCCAACATTATTCCCCTTCCAAAACATCCGAAAGTTTTGCTCAAGCTCCCCTTTGCTCCATCGGAATCTGCTTTGTCTCCCAAACGAGGTTTGCACAAGGCGACGTTAATCAAGACTGCCACAGTGGTTCTTGAAATCCCAGGCAGGGTTTGTCCCGTTTCAACCTTTACCTTTCGATTGGATGGTTATCCTGCTTTGAATCTAGCGGACCACATCCACTTGGATCGTGGAGATACCATCAAGCTCTACCTCCAAGGAGAAAAGGGGAGCTGGACTTTCAAGTCGTATTCTCCCACAGATACCAGCCGACCTGGTGAAATTGACATTACTGTCAAGCTGTATCCGGATGGCCAAAATGCCAACATGTTAAAAACCTTGAAAGTAGGCCAAGATCATATTTACATGGCCGGTCCTTGGAAGTGCAAACAGAGATTGCCTTGTTCGCATGCCTACTTGATTGCCTTTGGGATTGGGATTACGGAAATTTATCCAGTCGCCAAGCAATTGGTGAAAGATGGCATCCCTACTACCATACTGTATATCAACCGGTATCGTGAGGATGTCTGTTACCGCAACGAGTTGGATGAGATGTCTCGAGACAAAAAGTTGTTGTTCCGAGTCATGTACATGTATTCTCGAGAAGACGATGGGGTATCCTCCTTGGCCTCCAATGAATTCTCGGGTCGATTGGATTCCGCCACGATCCTGCAAGAAGTCTTGGGATTGAAGGAGAGTGGCGCGGATGAAAAAGCGAGCACTACCTCAACTTCCTCAAAGAATCTCCTCCCTCCTCGGTTCTTGGCCATTGGCTCCAAACCCATGATGAGAAAGGCATGGAACTGCTTGGATGACTTGGGATATTCTCGAAGTCAGCACGAGTTACTTCAATCACTCTAGGACTTGCCATTGGCATTTCAAAATGATGCGATAAGTCGAAGACCGATATTTGATTGCAGTGTTAAAGTCCTTGTAGCTAGTACTAGCTACTATTATCGCTAGTCAGCTGCTTTGGTGTGATTCATAACAACTCTATTTTGTTTGCCTACTATCCTAGATTCATGTTGTCTCATCAAAGGATATAGGGTGAGTGTCCATTCCAGAGCACAATGTTATCATACAGAAAGCGACGACTTCATCATCACATCACAGATTGGCACCTAATCCACTACCGGCTACCGTTATCTATATCATCAGCTCAAAATGTTGCCCTGGTTTTTGTTCCGGGCAATAATAATCTACCTTATACGAATAATAGGTACTAATACATCGGTATGGTAAATATTTTGAAAAAGTCAGCTTGAGCACGTGACATAAGTTGAAAGTGACTAATTGTTAACGAAAAGGGACCAACCATAAGTGTAAGTTTCTGAGTGAGTGTTTGAAAATGCTGCATCAGTGAAGGAATATATGAGAAAAACGCTGCCGTAATATTGCATTCCCTCTCTCTTCCGTCTTTTACTTGCATGCACCTCATATAAACGTCTATCAACTATCATCATAGCCACCAACTACCAACCATCCCTAAACAGCATGCCAAGATTAGCCAAGCGAGTCACCTCGTTCTTTCCAGGGAAAGGACCAACGGAATCATCATCAGCATCATCAGCATCATCAGCATCAGCAACATCAGCAGCAGCAGCAGCAGCAAAGACTAATAATCAGGTTCCTCCAAGAAACAGCATCGATAGTACCGACATTGACGGCAGTAGTAGCCATCTTCGCGTGAATGATGATGATGATGATGATGATACCCCATCAGTCGGAGAAGAACTAACTTCCGCACCCTGTCTATCCTCACTGTTAACCGCCACTTCGGAACGCAATCTCCCTCCTGATGGTGGTGGTGGTGGTGGTGATGGTAGGATGATCCTACAGTCCGCAGTAAGGATGACGAGTCAACGTCATACGCAACAAGGACCCAAAAAGAGTATATTGAAAAGCACCACCTCTTCGATTTCTACCATTATGAGCGACAGTGTTGCGAGTGGTGGTGATGCATACTTTACCACTTCTTCTTCTTCTTCTTCTATTTCTTCGAGTCGTCGAGATCCCAATAATACTACCAAGCTATTATCCTTCACGTCGATTCATGTTCGAGAATACCCAGTCTTGATTGGGGACAATCCTTCGGTGGGACAAGGCGTCCCTTTGACGATTGGTTGGGAACCTCAAACAGAAGAATCCTACCAGGTGGAAGACTTTGAAAGCAACCATAGAGCAGAACCTGTGTTGTCATTGAAGGAAATGAAATTCACGGAGGAAGAACGAGCCCAGATTGCCAAGAATTTGGGATATTCCGACGGCAAGATCAACAAAATTGCGCATCATGTCAAGTTTAGTACATTGACCCGCAAGAAGAAGATAATACGAACCTTGCATTTGGATGTAATGAAAACCTCATTCCGATCAGGACTGACCAAGGTTTCCAATTCTTCTCGCAAACTTTTGGGGACCAAACATGATGATGATGATAATAATGAAGGAATGGGAGATGATGACAATGGGGATGATCGGGATGAAATGGCATTTTAATAATATAGTGTCATAGTAGGATATATACATGGGCATGTTGAAACGATTGGGCGCTTCGTATCTACTATGATCATCATGATATCATCTCGTATTATAAATTATAATATTTTAAAATATTATTATAATACATTCAATCATTATATCGGACAAAGGGGAACATTTATACGGTAGGTGTAATCATCATTGAATTGAATGAATGTACAGTCTCGCCCCCTAATGGTCAAAGAATTACCGAATCAATAAGTTCAGTAGTTGGTTAAGTGTGCTGGAAAAGTCTTGTCTATTTGTTTTAAACTATTTGTGATAGTTGATGATGCGTGCTTCCTGCCTGCTTTCCTTCCTTCCTTCCTTCATCTTCATCGTGATCGATATGACTGCTCTTAGAGCAGTCATTGCATGACTTTTTATCGAGCCACACTGATTCTTTTCCAATCAAATTAATTCCGCAATCAATTCAATTCAATTCCATTCGCTTTACTTTGTTGTTGTTTCGGCTTCTAGTTCTCCAGTTTTAAGAGAGGATTCCTTGACCAACTTTTGGAATTCCGGATCCTCCCACCACGCATTGGTGGTTTGAATGGCATCCCCATCCGCGGTAGAAGCCGACCCGGTTGATTTCATAGCCTTGACGGCACCTGGATTGGCCACACCAAAGTTGGTAATGGCTTCCTTCATATGATCGACGCCCTTGTCGAGCATGTAGGCAATTTCTTGGGGACGTTCGTATCCCGCTTCGCGCAAACCGAGCACAAGTTTGGTAAATAGATTTTGCGTGGCAGGTGATTCTTGTCTGACGAGTTGCATCATGACTAGCATGCTCTTTTTCTCCATGCATTGTACCTTGAGTGTCTTGCCCGCACCGGCTTGCAATTGCAAACATTCAATGGCCAGGCGATTGGCCTCGTCAAAGGTAAATTCGGCATCGTGCACCAATTTGGGTTCCATCACGACGGAAGCTTTCTTTTCTTCTTCCTCGACGGCTGCTTTGGGTGTTTTTGTTACTTTTTCTTCTTCTGGAATCAATGCCTCGCCCTTGCCTTGTTCGTAATAATACATGATGGGGGTTGGTTTAAAGTCGGCTTCCAATGGATCTTCATTGGGATCTTCTTCGACCGACGCTTGAGGAACAAGGACGAGAGAAGCACTGGGATTGGCTGTCATGAGTTCGGAAGAAAGAGATTCCAATTGAGATTCAGCCTCGGGAGCGTAAAAGAATAGAACGCTCAAGTTTTGGACTTGGGACGCCGAGGAAATCAGAGTCTTGAGTTCGTCAGGAGTATCTACGAGGGCAATCCAATTGGTAGCTTCTTCCAAAACGGAAGAAGGAGGAACCACAGTGCCTTCCTCGTAGGCCAATTTGGATAGCAATCCAGTGTATCGGGCAGTCCTAGTCAACAATCGCTTCTTGGTTTTGGAGACATCTTGACTGAGCGAGACAATCTTGTTGAATCCAAAGGCCGAGTCTTCGTGATTCAATAAGTAAAAGAGTTCGGGAGTGACGCGACTGCCACTGACAATGCAGGTGGAATCTTGAATGTTTTTGCGCGTCAAGACAGGCCCGGCCACGGGGACGTAGGATTGAATGTCCGACAGGGGATTCACGTGCGGCGTGTTGCTGTCACTCGTGCCACCCACGCCGCGATTGAATTGATAATTCATGCGCTTCAATTGCAGGTCGTCAATCTTGGCTTTTCCATCGTCAATGGCGCCGGCTTCTTTGGCCATTTGCAGCGCTGACGACGAAGTTGGAAGAGTTGGAAGAGTTGGATGAATTGCATTCTTATTGGCAGTGAATGCAAAGGCACAATGGCTGGCAAGGCTGGCCGAAGAAGCCAAAACGAGAGCTGCAGAGTTGGAAATCTTCATTCTATTGTTTGTTTGTGCGTTTATGTTTGCTTGTGTGTGCTTGATTGCTTGTATTGATTGTCTTGTGATTTGATTGGTTTTTCAATTGACAATGACAATGACAATGACAATGACAAGAATGGCTGACTCAATTCTACTCAATCTTATTTTGTTATATTTTGTCGTCGTGTCATCACATCCATTTTTCTTTTTTCCAGATGATTTTTTTCCTTCGATTCCGATCTTCGTCCAAGTTTCGAGTTCTTGGACCCATCGACCAATCAAAATTGCCACCGAATTGCAGATGGTCTGACGTGTGCTGATTGGAGGAGAGGTTTTCGTTTTGAAGAGAAGGAATGACTATTGAGCTCGAAGGAGTCGAACGATTTACCGTCCGTTGGATGTCCGTCAACGGTCTGCAATTTCATTTCACAAAAATAAAAAATAATTTCATGCCCATTCTGAATTTCAATTCGAACAATCGTGGAAAGCGCGCCTTGCTTTGAAAAGAATCCCAAGATTCATTCTTTGACACCGATGAATGAATGAATCAATCATGCGCGAGATGCGAGATATGCAGTACCTGGTACCTAGTACAAGTATTCGGTATATACGGTATGCATCCATCCATCCATCATCTCATCCGTCATCGTCATCGATATTAATCGCACCCAAGAAGAATCCTTTTTTTTTTCAAGCTCATCATTGGCACTTTCATTCATTCATTGCCGTACCGTACGTGTGGGCCTGGTGTCAACAGAATATAAAAGTACAAGTACAAAGCGAGAATCAGGTAAATGCTCTACTAGACAGTTGCCTTGCGAACTGGTCTTTTTGGATCTAACCCTATCAACATCATCATCAACATCATCATCATCATCAAAGAAGGAGAATAGAGAAGGTTTAATCGAAACAGCTGACACGACCATTGGCCATTCATTTATTGTGTTTCATCCAATCCAATCCATTCAAGCAATCCAATCCAGCAATCCATTCAAGCAAGCAATCCATCATGTTGGCCATCATGATACTACTCATCTTCGTCGGCTGTCTCTTTTTCGTAATTGCCTCCATTCGATTCAAGAAACAATTGGCCAAACAGGAACAAGAAATGGCAGAATTGAGGGCTACGAGGAGACGGGAAGCCAGGGATCGGGAATTGGCACTGGAAGAATTCTTGGATGTACAAGAACAATCAAGGCTCGATCTTTTCATGGAACACTTTGAGTTTCACATGGTGCCATCGCGGCCAATAAGGTCGTCACGGCCAACAACGTCAACTTCAACAACAACAACTTCAACAACAACATTGCCACTGACGCCAAGTGATGACGACAATGAGGATGCCGCCAAGAGAAAGTTATCGGACATGGACACGACCAACATTACACTCTCGTCGTCCTATGACGATGCCGATGCTGATGCTGATGCTGATACTACTGATGATACTGGTAGCACACGTGGCACTGATCATCATTTTGACTTTCAGCAGTATCGGAAGAATGGGCAAGAGCCAAAGCTGGAGACTTCTCGTCATGGCGGCACTCAAGATGCTCCATCCGACAGTACCGGTAAGGATGCTGATTCCGACGACAGCACCAATGCACCCACTACTACTCCAGAGCAAATTCAAGACTTGCGACAGAACGACAACAACGACAACAGCAACAACAACAATGACAGCAACAACGACAACAGCAACAATGACAGCAACACCAATTCTAGTAGCATCATGAATGGCATTGCTCCATTATGGCTCACTTCGGCGATTTGTCGTAGCACACTGCTGAACACTGCTGCTTCTACGGAAGCGGAAGAGGATTGTTGCTGCATTTGTTTGGACTCGTATCGACCAGGCGATACTGTCTGTTGGGGCAAACAACAACAACAACAATTGTCGTCGCCCTCGTCGTCTTTGGTATTGTCAAATGACAATGGTACATCTACGACTGCCGAGAACAACAACAACAGCAACAGCAACAGCAGCAACATTCATAAGTGCCACCACATGTTTCACAAGGAGTGTGCCTTGCAATGGTTTCTACGAATAAAGCAGACAAACAACCAATGTCCCATGTGTCGAATCACATTGCTGCCTTTTATGCAACAAGATGACAAAAAAGCCCAAGAATCATCCACATCATTGCCACTTATTATTGGTGCGGAGGATCATCATCAACAACAACAACAACAACAAGTAGTTACTACGAACAGCAGCAACAACACTGCCATTGCTACTGATACTTCTGGCGCCCAAGAAACTAACACTGCCGATGATACTGCTGGTACCGTGGTGGATGTTGAAGCACAAATCTGAGTGAGTGAGTTGAATGGGCGGGGTCCTTCCTCCTCGGAACAAAATAAACAAGAATGGATGCTCGTGTCGAGTTAGTACTATACTATTGGAGCGGTCCGCCGCCGTCGCAAGAACGAACGAGAAAAAATGGTTTGACAAACACTACATGCAGTTGGAGACGAATAAACTATAGCTATACAAAATGTAACATATAATACAACTAACTATCATACGGAACAGAAAAGTGAATCAAGATAAATACTGTAGTAGACTTCGAGGAGGATAGCAAATAAATCTTCAGAAATTACAGCGATATCTTGGAAAGTCGCCGGCAAGCTTCGACCAGTAACGGATATGTTATAGAGCCGTTTGGATTTAGCCGGTATTTATCCAGTACTTGGCCGGTAATTCTCCTTAAGCAAAATTATTCTCTCACACATGATTGGCTGAAATAGTGTTAAAGTGACGTCGTCGGGTGCAACTCCGAGAACTTTTTGCGATTCACTCAATCTTCCACAAAACGCTGTCAAAACCTATTACTGTACACTTTCCCATCAAATCAAACCTGCCGAACCAAAAGGCTTCGATAGGATAGTAGGATCGAGATATCATATCCTTTCACTCTACATTTTTTATTTTATTTTTGCACGACGATATAAGACGATGCCAACCACCAACAAGAGCAGGATGTCCTTGTTTCTCAAATCGAACAAGCGAAAGACAACGACGACGACACCAGAACAACAAGTCGTCGTCGGCCATCATGATCCGAATCTCAAAGCAACAACGTCTGACAGTAGTATGAACCATGATGGAACTACTCTCAAGACCATTGGCAAGATGAAAAAGAAGAACAAGACATTGCAAATCTTTCGACGCAAGCAACTTTCTTCTTTTAGCTCCAACAACAAGAAGAAGAAGAAGAAGAAAGGAGTCCTCGACACCAGCATTGTCATCGATGTTGATGCGGATGACGACGACGATGATGGTGCTTCGCAAATTCGACCTGGATTGACATGGACAAATTCGGAAGACTCTTCATCCCTTTTCGGCGACAGCTCCAGTATTCGTAGCGGATCAAGGACTCAAAACATCCTCGAACTTCTTACTCCTGGCAGCAACAATGATAACAACTCGACTTTGCTAATACTACCCACCAACACCTTGGATTTCAAATCAGTACACCAGCAGCAAGTAACAAACCAAAATAATGATGATGATGAACATTTAGAGTTTCTCATGGCCATGCACAAGACGGAAATTGAAGAGAAGCAAGTCGAGATTGAAATGATGCAGGACCAAATTGCAATTTTGAATGACAAGAATGAGAGCAAGAGTAGAACGATCGATTCGATGAAGGAACAGCACAAACTTGCAATTCATGAGAAGACCATGGAGATGAAATCAGTGGAGAGTCGCATGGTTATTATGAAGAGCCAGCACGAAGAAGAGATTGAAATTCTAGAATCCACCGTCCAGCAAAAAGAAGGCGAAATCATTGATCTCAAGGCAAAATTGAATTGCACCAAAGCTGACTTGTTTGAAGTCAGCAGCAATCTGATTCAGGCGCAGCACAAGATACACGACATGTCAACTGCATGGCCGTACAAGTTCTTCCTGTAGAAGAATGACAAGGCATTATGTGGTGACTTACTTGGGGGGATCAGGGTCACCACCAATGTCGTCAAGCTCGTCGTCTTGTCGTTCTATGTCATCCAGTCTGGCGCTTATTTGATCGTCTCAGCTAGAGAATGGAAGCAGCCTCTATCAGCAGAGGGAGTTACAATAGATGCGCTAATTGATAACACATTACGAAAGTAATTTTCTATATTCTGCCGATGACTAAAGTTATATATATCTGTCATTTGTCGTAGCCTTCAAATGGCAATCTCCTTCATGCATGTGTCGAACGCAGCAATTCGAAAAAAATCAAGCAAAATATAAGCATTGTAGCATGCAAGTACTTGTACTCTGAATAAGTAAGTAGGCTATCATAGTATTAAAAATTGACATCAACTTGATAGCTGAATAGTGTAGCTGTCGGCCCATGAATGAATGAATGAATGAATGTATCATAGATGCCGTTCTGGACTAATCATCGTTCTCCTTCTTGGGAGCGTATTCAAAACTCGGATCGATCAATCCAATAACAAATTGAGCGAGGACTTTGAAAAAGTCTTCACCAGTCAATTTCGCCAACGATGGTTCCGTCTCTGATAATGTTGTTTGGGCTGCTACGAGACGTTCCTTGAGCTTATTGGACGTCAATACCATGTTACATCCTCTCATAATAACAGTCGCAAAGGCTTGATTACAACCGGGTTCGGAGATGACAGCTGTCAGAAAGGCGGCAGTCGATTTTGTGATAGCTCGAAAGATACATCGCTGCAAATACGCAATAGGACTAAATATTTTCCGGATGATGGTCCCGAGTAATGTCGTGGAAAACGGCGGTTTGACGATGGTGTTGGTGCTGCTTGTTGTTGACGAGGATGATACTTCTGCCGTAGATGGTTCACCTTCCGGGGTCGTTCCTGCACTGTAGTTTGATTTGTACAGAATTGGACTTTGCCGCCGCAATTTCATTCCTATGATGAGCCCTCTGACAGGAGTACGAGCCGAAGCAAAGGCATTCTGATGCTGGCTTTGTTCTTTAGGTAGTCGGGACGCCCTTGTCAACTTATAGGGTCGTTGTGGCAACGTCGAAAACGCTGATGCGCCTTGAAAAAAGGTTGAGGACAATCCCAACAGAAGCAACATCAATGCCATTTGAAAAGGTAGATGCTGTAGATGTAAAGTTGCCATATTCTTGCTGCTTATGCTGAGTTATTTGTTCAACCGGAAGTATGCAGTATATAGTATACAGTATGCGTGTTGTTTGGTGTTTGGTGTTTGTTGTTTGTTGTTTATTGTTGTTTCTACAACGCTGTGATGATCAGAATAATCTTATTGGATCACTTCAACGATGCGTCGTACTGTATATATTTTATATACTCGTACCTATCATCTCGCCCGCGCAAAATACCGAAAACAAAAACAGAAATTGCGGGCCGCGCACCGCCGATACCGTTACACCCTCGTACTGTATTGTCATTACGTTAGTACCGGTACCCATAAACATTGCCAAAATTCAAAGGGTTGAGCGTGCGGGTGTGTTGGTTGTTCACATTTCCGACTGGTTGGAACACGACGCACTACAGATTGATTCGATTGATGGATTGATTCCTCTGATTCCTCTTCTTGCCTTTGATCATGCGCTTTCATCGATACGAAGTCGCTTTTTTAATCCGATATGTGCCCTTTTTTAATCGTTGGGCGTCGATAGTGGTTGAGAGAGGTCACGGTATCGGCGGAAAAGAACCCCCATCAAGAACTTGAAAGACTGTTGCCGGGTAGTCACTTTAAAGCGAACTTCAAGATTGCATGCAATAAAACATGTCTTACAGTAGGGAAATTGCGATGAGAACAATCCATTAAGTGAGAAAATTCGTTACGGAAGTCGCATGCCTGATAATATAGAACTCCAATAATCAAATGCCAGATCGTATATAACTCCGAAACACGACCGAAAACAAAAACAGAAATTGCGGGCCGCGCACCGCCGATACCGTTACACCCTCGTACTGTATTGTCATTACGTTAGTACCGGTACCCATAAACAGCATTGCCAAAATTCAAAGGGTTGAGCGTGCGGGTGTGTTGGTTGTTCACATTTCCGACTGGTTGGAACACGACGCACTACAGATTGATTCGATTGATGGATTGATTCCTCTGATTCCTCTTCTTGCCTTTGATCATGCGCTTTCATCGATACGAAGTCGCTTTTTTAATCCGATATGTGCCCTTTTTTAATCGTTGGGCGTCGATAGTGGTTGAGAGAGGTCACGGTATCGGCGGAAAAGAACCCCCATCAAGAACTTGAAAGACTGTTGCCGGGTAGTCACTTTAAAGCGAACTTCAAGATTGCATGCAATAAAACATGTCTTACAGTAGGGAAATTGCGATGAGAACAATCCATTAAGTGAGAAAATTCGTTACGGAAGTCGCATGCCTGATAATATAGAACTCCAATAATCAAATGCCAGATCGTATATAACTCCGAAACACGACCAAAGGAGAGTTTTAGGCTCGGCCGATAAAGATTTTGTCTTTTCCCCCGTCTTTTTTGACTGGCATATAAAGCGTTTCTGTTGTCGCTTTGACCATCTGTTTCAAGGTGAAACAAAGTATAAAAGGACTAAGAGAGGAAAGCACAAATCACCCAAAAGATGAGTCAAGCGGTCGAAGACAAGTTGCAGCATACACACGAACTGGATTCCAGTCATGATGGAACCGAAAGTGATGGAGGGGGCGGGTCGAGTCTTGTGCAGCAGAAGCGTGAAGAGATTGCCAACAGAGAAAGCAAACTGGTGTTCTGGCTCCGTTTCTTGTTGCTGTTCGTCGTGGTTGCATCTGCTGTTGCTATCGTGACATTCGTTTATCTCTTCCTGACTAAAGCCGAGGAGGAGGAATTCACGGAAAAGTTTCACAGTGACTCAACAAAGGTTGTCGAGGCTCTCGGGAAGACGATGGACCAAACTGTCGGAACGACTGATGCCTTTATCCGTCAGATTGTTTCTTTTGCGAGGCATGACGCTAACAGTAGCTGGCCATTTGTTACGAAGCCTGACTTTGCCCTCAACGCTGGGAAAGTGCTGAAGCTTACCAAATCGTTCACTTGTGCCATCACCGTCTTCGTTGAACCAGAACAACATGATGACTGGCTTAAGTACTCGTTTGAACACATGGATTGGGTGGAAGAAGCCAAGCAGATTCAAGAGAAGGACGAAGAGTGGCACAAGCCTACTGACTTCGAGAACACCATCAACTACGGACTGTGGGGTTTTGAAGGTGCAGGGCGCACCAACGCGACAAAGCCGACGGAATACATGAATAACTGTAAGTTCTGAAACTTTTCATGCAACAGAAATGAACCCCAAACTCACTCCTTCTCTTCCGTTCCACGATACAGATCTCCCCTATTGGCAGCAGTATCCTATGGTTGCCGATCAGAAGGACGGTATCAGCGTGATCAACCACGATGTTTGGAGTGCACCTTCCACTGCATCGTTTGTAAAGGATGCAGTAGATAACCAACGTGTCGTGATTACCCCCCCTAACAACATCTACGACGATCAAGCGGATGACTTGGCAATTTATATTGCTGGAGTCATTGTCAATTGGGCGCGCGAATACGTCAGTGACGATGTAGATGTGACTGAACCCATTGGTGGCATCTGGATCCCAATGTGAGTATTTCTCGTTATGGCTTCTATGTGTTTCTGGAAGCATCAAAGCTTTCTGGACTTTGTTTTGTTGTCTCACGCTTGCTGTGATTGCTTCTTTCTAGGTATGATTATCTGGATTCTTTCCGCTTGAATATTGCAAAGGACGAAAAACCAGTTGGACTATACTACTCTGCATTCTTTTGGAGAGATATGATCAGTGATATTCTTCCTATTGGATCTGAGGGTCTTGTTGTTGTCTTTTCCGACACTTGTGGACCATCTTTTACATATCAACTCGATGGACCCGAGGTAAGTGCTCAGGGCGTACATCCTACATATACACATCAAGCAACACACACTGAATCACTCATGATGAAATCCAATATTCGCATCGAAGCCAATCTATCTTGGGGCAGGCGACCTGCACGATTCCAGTTATGACTACATGGGTATGACCCTTTCTTTGAATGATATCATGGATGCTAGCCAGAATCAAACTACAGAAGGAGGTCGAAAGAGAAGCAGCCAATATACGGGACTCCCCTTGTCCGAAACATTCTGCCCCAGAAGCATTCACATCTACCCCTCCAAGACCATGGAAGACAATCATGTTACAAGCAGTCCGTTGATATTTACGATTGCTGCAGCAGCCATTTTCGTTTTCACTTCTTCTGTTTTTTTACTATATGGTGAGTTTTTTGTTTGCAGTGCGATTGAGAACGTCAATTTGCATTATAATAGATAGTCCCTAAACAGTGATTTTGTGAGCCAGATTGCGTTGTGTCCCGTCGACAAAGGATTGTCATGCAGCGTGCTTTGGCCTCTGGAGCAATTGTGTCATCACTTTTCCCAGAGAAGGTCAAGCAACAGCTCTACGAAGAACAGAAGCAAGAGCAGAAAAAGCAAGTTGTTCAAAAGGAGAACGCATTTAGTGCCTTTGCCAATGGTACAGCTGCTTCTACCCAAAGTTCCAAACCCATTGCTGAACTCTTCCATGAGACGACTGTTATGTTTGCCGACTTGGCGGGTTTCACTTCTTGGAGTAGCGTCAGGGAGCCAGCTGAAGTTTTTGAATTGTTGGAGACACTTTATGGTAGCTTCGACAAGATCGCTCTTCGACGCAGAGTGTTTAAGGTGGAAACGATTGGTGATTGTTATCTAGCAGTGACAGGTGTACGTTGATTTTCTTGTTGCCTTCTTTGTCTACTCAGTGCCTCTACAATGAAACTCATCGTTTGTGTTTACCACAGATTCCAGAGCCACAGGCCAACCACGCGGCCATCATGGTAAAGTTTGCTCATGAATGTATGGTGAAGATGGACCAACTGACCATTGAACTTGCCGACAAACTTGGAGAAGAAACAAGGGACTTGAAAATGCGAGTCGGAATACATTCTGGATCAACAACAGCCGGAGTGCTCAGGGGGGAGAAGGGACGATTCCAACTCTTTGGAGACACTGGTAAGTTGTTTTTTCACTTGCAAGATCTTCGCAAATATTGCAGCTTTTGTTGTATCTGCGTGTAACCTAATGCTATTGTTCTTTGCTCTTCACAGTGAATACTGCTGCTCGAATGGAAACAAATGGTGTCAAGGGCAGGATTCATGTATCACAGGCCACTGCAGATGCTCTGATTGCGTCTGGCAAAGGTAGTTGGTTGACTAAAAGAGAGGGTGGCATTACAGCCAAAGGAAAAGGGGAAATGCAAACTTACTTTGTTCAGCGGATTGGAGGGACCATCAAATCTGGAAATACAAGCGACACAGGAATTAACACCAATGAAAAAGCCTCAAGTGATAACGACTCCCCATTAGATTCAGAAGGGAATAAAATGATACCTACAGGAAAGTGAAAGTTCTAATTTCCGAATCCTTCAACTTCCCGGGGCACATTCTATTTTATCAACTATAATCTTGCCGCAAGACCACAAGAAGAAATATGAGGAAAGGTGGCTATAGACAGTTATGGTGGGTAATCGTATTTTTTAAATCTCTATATAAATACATTTCATTTATTTACCTAGTGCAGTTGCTTTATGTAGAACAGCGAATCCACCAAGGAGTTCAATGTAGTCATCATCATGACGTCAACCCATCAACTCTCTATCAAAACAAAGCCTGACTTAGCAACGCTGTTGCCCCCCTTGGACGACAATGACCTCTCCATGATCCTTGATGGTACGCCCTGGTGTTTTCGTTGCTACATACCCAAGGGCGGAAATCATCTTTACACCTGGTGGTTCGAACATGACTACTACTTCCAACTTTGGGACGACCAATGTGTTGGCTACAACGAGTGTTTCATCGATCCTCTTTGCGAGTAGACATAGGAGGGAATGGCAGTTTGCCTCTATGGCAGCTGTGACGATGCTCCTCATAATTGTGAATCAGCCGAATCCGATTGGGAGGTCCGGACTTTCCTACCTGACCATCACTCTTCCATGCTTTCACATATATTCTGACCTTCCAATGCACCTAGGCAAATATACAGCTTCAATCATTTTCCAAGCCAAATAGTAATTTAGCTTCTATTACACTTATTGCTACTGTCGCTCTCAGAATTTTCTCCTTTTTTAAAAAACAACCTCAGTCACAACTGCATCTTCAAGCTTGTTCCACCTTCTGCCACTTGCAACATCATAAAACGTGGGGTATTCTCAGTTTGTTTCAACTATGTGGTACTGTCTGCGTCCGTAGCCGTCGTTGCTCCACTGTTTGTACCAAAAGCTTCTTTGTATCCTTCGGATATACCGTTCAACAGAGATTTGGATTTGTCATCCTTTTTTGTCTTGCTTCGGAGCAAGCGATTACCTTGTGCTCCCAGCGCAAGGTCTGCATGAGACGCCATAACCTCAGACTCTTCTCCACCCCCACACGTTGAACACAAAGCAAGATTGTTTGCTCCAAACTCATCTTCTGTTGGCACCACAATTGTGACACTAAGAATTTTGCCTTGGCAAAACGTATCACTCAAAGACGATGATATATCCGATGTATCGGCAAGTCCAATGAGAAAAAGCATACATACTCCAGTCTTAATTTTGGCGACAGTAAATACTTTTTCCATTGCTTCAATCGCCGCTTGACGTTGGTTGAAACTGTATGTCACTCTATTTTTTACACTCACCAACA